TTTTTAGGATAAGCTATGCTATTTTTTATTCAGAATGTTTGACCGCTGAACCCGTAAAGTCATTTAATGTTATCTGATCAAGATGTACCAACTAACCTTGAACGAATCTTTTTTCAGTGTTTCATTGCACAAATAAATGCAAATAATTTTATCACATTTTGGTTTTACCGAACCTCCTTGTACTATATTGGAAACAGTTGTATTCTGGATGGTTTCAAACTTAAGGATTTGAAAAAAATGCGTATATACAAAAATTCGATTCACAAAAAAAGCAATGTTGCATTTGAACTGAAAAATTCATCCTAAAAAATAAGTCAATAATAAACTGAGAAATCAAACTCCTCCGCTTGATAACAAAACGTTAGAACCCTTTTTTCATTTCCAGTTCGTGTCGTAATTATTGTACGAAGGCAGGATAACTTTTTCCCCCTTAAACAAGTTCCTCATCGCGCCAATACTCGGGCGGACAGTGCGTTGTTGATAATAGATTGTGACTCATGGAGTGCCAATTGCTAAATGTCATTAGTTTCGTAAGTGTAGTGCATGTTTTCCCTCGGGAGGTGCCTATGATCTTTCCCTCTGGATGGCGAGATCCAGTGCCGACAAATGGTCGGCTAGAGGGGTTTCAGGTATCTTCTACCAGCGGGGCACTTGCGAGTGGGGACGAAGTCTAAGTTCCCGACCGGACTTCCGGCACAGCGCGTTGTTGACCCTACTGCACGAAATATGTAGCATGTCTCACATGTGGCGCCCCCTCGTGTCATCTCACGAGCACGAGGGAGCCCCCACAGGGAGTCCACTACTTTGCTTTCATTAACGTGTAGTGGGCTGGAACACGGACCCACAGCACAGCATATAGCTAGGAAAAACCATGAAGAATTTGGTATTTTTTTAACAGACGTGTTTCTGCTTTTGCACATTCCAGAAAACGCATGCAAATTTATATTATCAAAACAATAGATAGTATTTTTTAATACAAGTACCAGAAAAATAGCTTCATTTTGAGATGGTTCGCAAATGAGGATAAGGCTAGTGGTGCTGAACAACACCAATTGAAACATGCCTACCAGCCGCAAACAGCATTCTTTTCTATGAACGATAGCTGTAGAAATGAAAAAAAGGAACTAAAATCTCAAAATCTGATACTCTAATATCGAGAGAGAAAAGGCTACAGCTGAAAGAGAAACGAACAAAATCTTACCATTTCAATATTACAGGAGACAATCAATGAACTTCGTAAGTATTACTTTCCAAGGTCTAAAACCAATTTGATGTCACGGTTTTATCAGCATTTCACTGATCGAGCCAAGATTTCTGTAGGAAGTTGGTTGGGTCGTAAAGGTCACGTGACGCCAAACTAGAGCTTACAGAGCTACGTTGCAGATGTAGGAACCTCAGAGCCAACTAGAACCTCTCTCTCCAGCTGCCACATCACTGATTAATTCCTTATTACGAGTAATTTATTCTGAAACTTTAATATCAGTAAGGTTTTCATACATGGCTCAGATACGCAATATTTTACCTTTACAACTCCACTATCTACAAAAGCCATACACAAATTCACTGGTTTAAGAAAAAACAAATTCCTCTAGTACCTCCGAGCTACTCTGATTTCACAGATGAAATAATTGCTTTCGTAACTCACCCCAGTGATGTTTCCGGATCGTCTTAACTCTCCGTGGATCAATCAATTCACTTCGTTCTAGCAACTTTACTGCATGACGCACAATTTGCGGTGAATTGGCTGTGGTCATTTGAATCGTTTCTTCTTACGAATCATTCCTCGCTCTCTTAGAAAGAACAGTATGCAAATTGAAAACAAAGTACATTTGGTACAGTTATAGACACTCCAGTCACTTTACAATTGCTTTACATCAAATCGAATTAGAATTATCAACTTTTTAATTCTGATTCTACTCGCATTTCCCCAGGAATATTCTTTTGTTTCTTTGTCATGGCCGATGCTACATATCATCAATACGTATGCTAGGACTCTAACATATGTTATCTTATGAGAGTTATTGCTTTAAGTAAACAATCGGACCTATTCGTAACCTAATTTTGAAGACTACTTTTTAAGTATTATACTATTACGAATGTGTATATTGTATCTTGAATGTTAATTTGTTGTGATTCTGTGAGGAGTGGATTCCCAGCGTGGGTTACTTCTCCACACTTCGTTGTAATACCAGGGGGATTTCTCCCCAGGGTAGAGACTTATAGTACCGGCAGCGTATGAGCCACTCTGACAGTTCAACGCGCTGTTGCCGCACATTACTACGTCCATGGCACCACCCACACCACAGATAAATTCAATCTCAAAACATTAACACTTACTGATAGATTATAATACGCCTTGATATCATGTTCAAGACCTTCGAAAAAGCCGAACCTCATCGACTCCGCAACTGCGTGTGAGCCAAATCAACGGCAATGCCGAACACTGGCTGTAAGAAGTAAAGAAATTCTCGCTAGCTGATTGCTTCAGTGCAGGTCACATGACTTACCAGAGAACGTGGCGAGAGAACTGTCAGAGTCGCTTACACGCTGCCGGTAGTGTAGTTCTATGGACGTGAAGCCCTCCCGAAACTACAGCAACAGATTTCAAGAATCCTCGTCTGACGTCTTTATTCATCTTTTATCGCAGAATTGGGGCACGGCCCACCCCCAATCCTGCGCCAAAGGTCGGCGGGCCCAATTGTTCGGTCATCAGGCAACCCGAGTAACCAGGAGCTTAGCACCGCCTCCCCACTGCACCATCTTGGCGCTAACGACGTGAGTACCGCCGAGAAACGGTCCGGGAGGACTTTTCCATCCTCCACCGAGGACCTCAGACCCTTCGGCCGTCGGTTTTCCCTTGCGGGGGGTTCTGTGAGGAAACATAATGTCGGTTCCTAACTCACAGAGAATGTTGCTTTTTGCTTCTCACCGCCGTACGCGCGATGTGGCTGGAAGTAAACGGCGCGATCTTAATGTTTCATCACCAAAACTGTCACGTAATGCCATTACAACGTACTTCAGGTTCTTTGGTAGCATCGTAACCTTCACTTACATTATAGATTGATCACTTTACACCGCAAGGCCTAGGGTTCGACACCCATCCCATCTCATTGGAGCTTACTGCTGAATGGGGATGCCACAAATTACGTGAAGAGAAGGGAGGAGGTTTGAGGCAGCGTTACGCTGCGTTACATAGGGGTAGGAGGGTCATAGTTTGGTGTTACGTAATGCTGGTATTTATTTTTAAAATATTTCAACATTAACTCCAAAATTTCCTATTGTTCAGTGTTATTCTAAAACATTAGCATATTAATAAATTAAATTAATAATATAGTAAATTAAAAAAGTTATATTTTATAAATTGTTACCAAAAATGAAAATATTTGTCATCAATGACACATTGATTGAATCATGGGGGGTAACTTGCCGCAAGCATTACGTTATTATTAGAGGTTGTTCAAGTGCGCGTTACAGGGGGCGAGGGGGTAGTCAAAATTCTCCAAATTTGCGTTACGTAATTTATGGACAACCTCCAAAAGGTTGCGGCAGGTTTCTAGGGGCTGACCCCTTTCTCTTACTCCTCATTCCCCAATCTTCTCCATCTTCTTGCTCAGTACTCTCTTCTTACTCATTGTCATTCTTCTTAACTCTTCTTACCGTTATCGTTACTTCTCAACTCAAAGGCCTTACCAGGAAGACCCGTCAACGCCGATGTTGAGTTTTCTGGCTTTGAATCGACAGCCATCCTCACGACACTCACGCCATTCCTTAAACAAACAGATAAATAAATAAATATTGCTCTCATGACATTACTAATACCTTGCACTTCTTTATTGAGCAACAGCTCTGAGAAAATGCCATTTATTTGATTATCTGCGAACGTAACTGGAGGCGTAAGTGATGAACCTCCTACATCCCTGAAATGAGTATGACCTCCTCATTGCGAGTCGAATTCCTTGTGAACCCTTAAATTGAGCGTTCTTTAAATGCACTATTCTTATTCACAAGCATCCCTTCTCCTAATATGAGTTCCAAATGAGTGACCACTTATTGGTATAAGAGTGATTGTCCTCTCCCTTAAATGTTCTTAATTTGGCTACCTATTTATCGGTATAGGTTTTGTTCTTACACGACTCTCACATATACTACGGAAAACGGTGTCAGTGATTTCGCATAATAGTTTCACATTTATAGGCAATATATCGTTTGTAGTACGAAATTAAACATCAAAATCATTCATATTACATTGGAAGTGTATAATTACAAGTTTAATACCGAATAAGTAATATTGGACATTTCTCTGTACAAATAATATTGAATGACCGCTCAAACACGAAATATTTGGCCAAATGTACAGCAAATGACAAGTTGACATATTTTCAATCCAGCACTTAATCCGCCAATCACACTCAATCCGCCTTCTGAAGAAACATCAACAAAATCTTCATATGAAGACACATTTTAAGCAATCGCTTGTTACTTAAGGGTTTTCGTATTCCTTTCACGAGGACTACGAATTTGGCCTAACATCTACTTCTCCAATTATCATCAAAGCATCCTAAACCTGGCATGCTGAAAACGACCGGCAACCACCCCGAATGCCAACTGTGTCAATCGGAATCCGCGCCAATTCGCCCCCTTCACGCACCCGTCCCGCTCACCTCCAGCCCGTCGCAGCCCAGCGCGCAGTCGCCGCTCGCGACCAATCGCTTTGCTGCCCGCTGCGCCCGCCCTCGGCGGCGACAACGCGCCTAATCGCTGCGCGGGAGGCGTGGCTGCTCCGACTGATCGCGTCAACGGGCGCGTGTCATCAGCGGGCCGCCCGCTCCGCTCTCCCTCTCGGTCGCGCGATTCTTTTTTTTTTTTCCTTCTTCTCCGCGCCGCTGCGGTCCGCGCTTCGCCACTGTTTTTTGTTCTTTTCTTTTGTTTTTGCGCCCGCGGATCCGGCGCGGTCCGGCGCCCCGTATAAAGCCCGCCGAGAGCGGCCGCGGCGGACCAGTCCACCGCCTAAACCTCTCCCCGCGAAGGCAGCGCGACAGGCGAGCGACAGACGAGCGGTTGACAGAAGAGTGACCGACGGGGAGTCGTCAAGTTCCGAGATGCGCCGCGGCGGCGCGCTGGCGGTGCTGCCGCTGCTGCTGCTGGTGATGGGCGTGCGGGGGGCGATGGCAGAGGACGACGAAGAGCCCCCGCCCGCCCCGCGGTTGGAGGACGAGCCGGAACCGCCCACGAGGCCGTACTACCCCGGCCCCGGCGTGTGGGCCAAACCGGCGGCGGATTCAGGCATCGATGTGGGGTTTGTGCCCCTCCGGCTGTATGCGCAGGTGGGTACGGTGCTTGGGTGTGTGCGCGCCTCCGTTGAAGCTCCCGTGGCCTTCGCTGGGGTGGTTTCTCGTTGGCTTCTTCAGGAGAACAGTATGTGTCAAATTTGATGTCAGTTGCCGCACGCCTGCGGGTACAGTAGAGTTCTCAAAACTCGACTTTCTTTAATTCGACATCATTACTTATCGGTGTACATTTGAATCGCATAATTTTATATTGTTTTCCATCGTAAATGAAAAACGCTGCTTCTAAACAATGAATTTACATTGCAAACCAGTGGCGCATCCGAAATGTGTAAGGTCAGATAATTCTAAAGCAAGTTACGTTCGTAACGATGAGCGAATGGTACGAGGACAATTCTAAGTGAATTATTAGTATTTATTGCGAGTGAAGATTCCTAGTTGAATGCTGTGTAGGTTGATATACGTATCAGCGAAAATGTTAAGCGAGAAGATGATACAAAACATTCTAGTTTCCAGACTACGGATAAGTAATTCATTTTATTACAGTGGGTGTTCAAAGGAGAAAGTGTAAATTAAATTTCTACGAACTTATACGACACGTTTTAAATCCGTTTTTTAAATTATTTTTAATACGTTATTATTTGAATTTAAATAGACCTTGTATATAAAACATTTTTAGTATTACGATTCACCGAGCGCGTAAAATTAAACTCGACAATTTAATAACGAATCGACATCCTCTCATTTCACATTATTTCAAGCCTCTTCTGCACTTCTGAAATTGCACTATTGTGAAAATATATAGGTTGCGCGATCTATATATCGCAGCAGTGCAGTGTATCCCAATCACTGTTCATCAAATATTAGAATCATGCGATCAATCACTTGCATAAGTCATTCATTGAAATATGAACTCATTATTGTGTTTTGATTGCGAATAATCGCATAACATGAAAAGAAATGTTTTAGAAAGTATGTTTAATTTTTTTAGAAAGAATGTATATCTGCATTAATAACTATTCTAATTATATTGAACGATATCTTGACAAAAATCTTCGAAATGTTATCTTTCCAAAATATTACAATTTTGGAATAAATTAATACACGTCTTTCTGAAACATTACGAGAAAATTAATCCTTATCTTTCAGTTATTAGAAAATCTTGGAAAAATGAATTTTGACACATGAAATGTGAGTACTTTTTAATGTAATCTAATTGAACTGATGATGGTATCTGCAAGAATAGAACATGACTTAGAAAATTATTAAATATTTATTCTTTAATTTTGTGTTCGTTTATTAAATATTCTTTTGTCGCATATATGACTACCCTACATTACAATCAATACATGATTCGATGTCTATTTGTTAATCATGTGAAAATGTTCCATAACATTGATAACGTTTTGAACTACGGATGAATGCTCAATGGTCATGGAGAGGTTGACAAACGTCATCTTTCCATGAACCATCAAGAGACCCCTTCCTGTTCAATGCGACATCGTTGTACTCAACGGAGGTTAACGTGGTGGAAAATCGCGTGCGGCGTGGTCGGATTTCTAGACGGACGTCGATTAGTTTGTTTTGGGCAGGACACGTTCCGCCCCGTCCACTGGACAGTGAAGTGAGAGACAGTGAAGTACGGTTTTTGTGTCGCTACGTCTGTGCGGAGAAAGTATCGGGAACGATTCATGTGCATCCAACCGAGTAAAGACCGCCTACCAATATAAACTGCGATGTTCTTCCTCGTAGATGTTTGCGGTAATGCGTGAAGTGTGATTTGTAATCCTCTTTAATCGTCGCTGACTTTTAGTTACTCGGATAATGAATTTGTGTTAACGAATAGAAATCGTCGGTATCAAAGAGAGTACTTTCAACTAAGATAATAATTGAATATTGTGGAGGCTTTGGATGAGTTGTATTGTAAATTTCTAATGTGGCATGGGGCTCCAACTCTGTGAACCAATTTTGACTCTAGTATTGTCTGCCAGGGACGGACATCACAAATTTCCTATTCACCCGGCATCGGTAGAACACATACGATCTGATTAGATTGGAAATTGTTGGAGGGTTTGGAGAGCGTTGAGGCAGATTGTTGAACATTTCACGCGCATGACTGGGCACGTTGAGGATATTTCGCCCAACGAAAATCCCTCCCCGCTTCCAAACGGGTTTGCATCTGAGGATCTCGGGCTTTGGACGCCAGACCACCAGCTCCCATGACCTTGGGACCGCCGATCATAAAACGTATCATTATAGCATTGCTTTATTTTATGACGTTCAATGTCACATATTGGTAAACACGTGCATTTCCGTTACATGGATAACTGATGAGATGGATTCAACCACTTTAAAAACCGAAGCCAAAAAAGAATCAAATTCAATCCTGAAATGTATATTTGTTTACTAATCGGGTCCGGACCACCATGAAGTTTAATCGGGTGTCTCATCATCTGGCTGGGGAAGATGGAACTTCGCTTGGAACTTCGCTTGGCACTCGATAAAGCGTGTTGCGGCCTATGGCCACCTACGCTGCGGCAACGTGGTGGACTACAGCACAGATGTACAGAAGTACAAGGATACACTTGAGATGGTACAGAACAAAGTTCTACGGCTCATACGTCCTCCGTTTCGGAAACGGTTGAAAGAACTAAGAAAGAAACTTGATATGTAGTCCTTCACCCAATGCTTGAGACAGCTTACGTTTAGTGAAGCCTATCAAGCCTTTCAAACCGACGAAGCTCCGGCAACGCTAAAACAGTTAACTCGACATGTCCTTACAACAGGGCAAAGAAGACAAGCACTCCCCTCTGGTATTCTAAGGGCGTAGTGCAACACAAAAGCCGACTTGGCTATTGCCTCAAGTCCGACACGAACCCACACCAGCCACTTACACATAGCAGTAAAAAGCAAAATTGGGTGCGCACTGCAACATATAGTACACAAACCTTTGGCTAAGCCCCCCCCCCAAAAAAAGCTGGAGATCTCACGAGAAAAAAAAATGCACTGCACTAACGACAATAATGACAGCAGTTGACACCCCGGAACGATTAATGAATCAATCAAAAATTTATTATCTAAATAATATGGAATAAATGCACTGCCAGGATGATATGCGGTTTTAGAATTATGTTATGAGCTTAGAGGCTTACAGGAATCCCCTGTGCTTGGCCTTTTTATGTCACATACGACATGTGACGTTCAGTATTATCTCCTTTCCGAAGGCATGCCTTAGAGTTGAGCGATATTTTCACCATGGTAAATCCAGACTTTAAATCGTTCCACTGAATTGCGTATAAAGGAAAAACAAGCTACCGCAGTGGCCTTCAAACATTTTTAACGACATTTTATTTAGCCACAGTGAACATGGAAATGAACACATAGAGTAGAAGCAAATTCTGGTAGTTTTGGGATTTCGAAAGTTTTAAAACTGTCTATACTATAAAGTTCAAACTTTTAATTACATATATGTAAGTTTATTGGAATATTCCTCTTCTTGCATCGAGCTGTAGTGCATTATTGAAGAAACCTACATTTTCTATGAAATTAAATAAATACGCAAGAGTCATTATAAATTCCTTTAGCTTTTAAATGACGTGTGTGGCCTCAAACTTGACAATGTTAGCATTTAGGAATTCAACTGTTTTATAATACAATTCGCGGTTACGCTGTTCTAAGGCACGCGGGTGAGAATCATCGGGTTAACCAGTACAACACCGAAGCCACACGTTGACTTTCAATTTCTATCGACGAGTATCTTCTTACGATTTACAAAGGATCGAAAATGCTTTCTAACCCCAAGAGCCAGTGTCGAAGCAACACTGTGTAGGAGACGCAAAAAGGCTGCATTGACTTCGCTGAGCCGTGGCGTCGAGCGTCGAGCTGTGTGGCGCCGCTGGCCATCGAACCCCGGGAGAAAGGCGTGCAAGACACAGGGGGAGGCGCTTTTTGCGCGGGAAGACTTCTTGGGGAGGCGCGCGGATCGAAGCGCCGCGACGCCGCTTTCTTGGACGGACCGCGCGCGGAAGAAACGGACCGGGCGAGACCAACGCTCGAGATTTGCGTTTGCGAACGCGGGAGAAATTCGGTTTTCTCACTCGGAGCCTACGGTTTTTGCCCTGATGGCTCTGAAGTTGGATAGAGGATCGACTTCGGAGGCTCAGGGCATTACTGCAGGCTGGGTTCATGTCACTGCAGCACCTATGACTGGGAGGACCAGGAGTGTGTGTTTCCATGGCAGAATTTTTGGCATTGACTAGACAGCTAGATTGGTTCCAGCCGCTGTCTGGAGGAGAACTCTAGCGGCCACTTGTTCTAATCGGTAGTTGTCCGTGACTTCTCCGGTCAATACCAGGCAAATATTAGAGTGTGTCCTCGGAGTTGACTGGGTTCAGCGTTTTTCTATGGCGGCGCGTCACTTGGAGTTCTGTGGTTTGATTTAGTAAGATGTGAAGGTTGAAGGGAACGGGAGGGATGTTTTCTCAAAAAAGAAACCATGATCAAATTAATGCACCATTTATTACTAAAGAGGGGAGAGAGAGGGGGATTTTTACACTATTTGATGGCAAAGATTAATGAAACAACTTGGAGCCTTTTGAAGAAAATGTTGACAATATAAAAGACGTTTCATTTGAATTATCTCCCAAAAATACATTTCAAACTTAGGTTGTAGTTCCTTTACATTGCATTGGAAATATCAATTTTGAAGAAAATCTTCTATGCATGCTACGCACCAGCGTTGACCACAGGCATACGTTTTGCCGACAATCGAACTTTTGGTATCAAGTAATAGAAAAACATGAATTGTGACTATACAGAGTTACATATGTTAGAGATAGTAATTTATTATCTGTAGTAAATTAAAATTTATTCGCTTTTTAGTTAGAAGGGCCAGCAATGAGTTTTTCTGTCAAAAAACTGCGTTTTTTCTAGCGCATTATTACCTTACAAGTAAAGACGAAAAAGTAAAGATTGGTCCCAATACCATTTTTGTAATTTTACGGTTTTTGGAAAATTACAAAGAATTAACAAAGTAAAAATACAAGATTAATGATAGATATTTTTGTTTAAAATAAAATTTGATCTAGTCTTAAAGCAGTAATTGTGGCTCAGGGGATCGACTGATGTCACTGCAGTGCGTCAGACTGAGAGGGCCTCGGGCTCGAGTCCCAACGGTCCCGATTTTCGGCTCTAGCCAGATAGCTAGGTCGGATTAAGCGGCTGTCTGGTTGAGAATACTAGCGGCCACTGTCTCTGATAGGTACTTTTCCGGGGATTCTCCCATCAACACCAGGCGAATGCCGGAGCAGTACCATAACAAACGGGCCACAGAACGCGCACGATCTTTCCTTAGTCTTCCTTGTCCTTTTCTCATACCTTAGTTATAGACGCACTACACTGCTACACGTGTCGGCAGACCAGTCGGGTTTGCCTCGGCTGGGGTAGTGACTCGCTGGCAGATGATATCTGCTTTGGGGGGAAAAATTCTCAACCGACGTAGGTCGGTGCAGGATCGCACCATTCAGAGGGGGAAAATCACTGCCACTTTCCGCGCAAAAAGCATGCACAACAGTTGCAGAACAATGCCCTTAGCATTTGGCACATCCGGTATCACTGAGAAATTAGGTATTATATAAATGGTCAAGTACGGTTTTTTGAAACACCAATTAGTCTTCGAATAATTTCTACTTAGAGTTAATTTCAATGTACACAAAAATATGTTTGTCAAATACGGATTCATGTTTTCGCTTCATTTTTCTTCCGATAGAGCAAAGGATGCTTAAAAAATGCGCGCAGGTGCCATTTTCAGCTTTTAAGCCATTTTGTGTGCTGGTGCGGTGTGTGAGCTTGTGTTGAGGTGTTGGGTGAGCGTGCGTTGGTATGTTAGGGTTGTGATGAGCTGCGTGACGTGCGAGTGTGATGGTGCGTTGTGAGAGCTTGTTGTGTGAGCATGCGTTGGTGAGTGAGGGTAGTAGTGAGTGTGGGATGGTGTGCTGTTGTGGTGTGTGAGCGTGCTGTGGTGCGCGACGTGAGAGTGTGATGATGCGTTGTGTGAGCATCTGATGAGTTGTTGGATGAGCGTTCGTTGGTGTGGTGGGGAAGGTGTAGTGATGCGTTGCCGAGCGCGTGCTGGCGTGCGCATGCGGTGTTGCGCTGTGTTGCGTGACGCGAGTGTGGTGGAGCGTCGTGAGAGCTTGTGTTGGGTGAGCGTGCGTTGGTGTGAGGGTAGTGGTGAGTGTGGGATTGTGCCTAGGCGAGCGCGTGGTGGTGCGATGTTTCGCTGGGTGCGCGTGCAGTGCTAATTGACGTGTGTGGTGGTGCGTTGTGTGAGCTTGTGTTGCGTGAGCGTGCGTTGGTGTGCGAGGGTGTGCTTGTTGCGTTGGCGAGCGCGTGCTGGTGCAGTGTGGCGGTGTGTGTGCGTTATGAGGGTTGCTGCGTGCTGCGCTGTGCGAGCGTGCTGACGCGAGTGTGCGGTGTGAGCGTGGGTTGGTGTGCGCTGATGTTGCAGAAGCGCCACACGGAGGCGGTGCGCCTGCTGCCGCGGAGCGCGGCCTACGCCGACGCCAAGACGGCGGAGGAGGTGGCGGCGGCGCCGCGCCTGCGTCAGGTGCTCTCCTCCAAGAAGGTCAGTCCCCCTCCCTTACACTTCGCGAGCCTTCACTGTGGCTATGGCAGGGTGTTTTCCTGGTCAGACTACTCATCGATGATCCAAGTGAAATTTGGGATGGAAAAAGGGGGTTTGCAGCAGGTTTTGTCCACCGCCTATCGTTTGCCCTTGTACTTCGCCATTAAATCGTATCATATCATAATCTACCTATCAGACCTTCATTTTAGGTGCCACCGACATGGGTACTGACTTAGTATAATCTAGTGTAATCTTAGTAAGATTTACTTTTGATAGATACAATTACAGTCTTTCTGTAGCGACAGAAAACGCTCAGCCAGTAGGATTAGTATTGCGGCAAACATCCTCAGCCAATGATGCCGATTATTATATGCCATCATTACAACATGGTCGTTTTCAGAGATTAGAGAATGTGAGAGCGGTAGTAATATCAGTACTTTTTGTGATGTTTTCATTTGCAAATCATGTGCAAAAGGGATTACTTTATTAAATGCCCATTATGACGGTTAAAGACAAATACTGACACTTGACAGAAACGATAGGTTACTATAATGCTAAAAATGTGTTAAAATATTTTCTCTTGTTTTTACGATTTAAACATCCTTTTTAAAAGAACATATTAGGAAGTGCTTTGAACATGGTTTGTTTCTTTCGTAATTTTTTGAGATCCATTGACTCCTAAATTACATTGAAGCAAGCATACAATGAAGATATCTAGAAAGTGGTGGGCGATGCAAACAGAAAGCAGCATTCCGCCCAGTTAGGGTAATTGAAAGAGAACAAATGGGTCTTTTACTAGCAAAGCCAGTTCTTCGCGTTTGAGAAAAAAATACCTTTGGCATTAAAGTCATCTCACATTCATACGTAGCTCCACGAAAAGTGAGTTATGTTGTTTTCGCACTTTAGTGGGAATCCGGATGTAACAGTACATTACTTAACGACGTCTTACACTGCGGTGAATTTTGTAAGTAAAGTAACGATTGGTTTTTGATATCAACTACCTCGAGTAATATTGACTGTTCGTGTAACCTTTCGTGTGCAAATGTTTCCGCTCCTGTTTGCGCAGATCCAAGAAGTGTACAGCGAAGAGGGCTACTCGGACTCTGGCTACGACCACGGGGACTACGGGCGCACCGCGCATCAGGAGGAGGACTACGAGCGGAAGGAGCGCGAGAAGAAGCCTCACGTGCACCACCGCTCGCGGCCCCGCGCCCGCGCCCGCGGCCACTACGACGACGCCCACGCGGCCGGCTCCTCCACCGTCACGCGCGTCGCCTCGCCGCTCCCGCGCAGCCGCCACAGGATGTCGCACCGCCAGGAGATCACGTACGCGGTGACGGAGGTGCACGACGCCCTGCCGCTCGCGTCGGCGCCGCAGCCGGCCCGCGTCGCCATCCCGGCGCTCGACGCCTTCCGCCGGACCGCGCCCAGGCTGCAGCGGCGCAGCGACGACGGCGGACACGACGAGGAGCCGGAAGCGGCGCCCAGTGAGGTCGCAGAAGAGGAGGAGGAGGATGATGACGAGTCGGCGGAGAGTGAAGAGTTCGAGAGCAGGAAAAGCGATGCCCCGCCCCCCTCGGCCCCTCCGCCGACTGAAGCGGCGTCTCCGGGCGAGGCGGAGCCGACGGCTGAAGCCACCCACGCGGACGCACGCCCTTCCGGCCCACCCGTGTGGTCGGAGGAGTTCCTCAAGTCGCTGCCCCTGCAGCTGCCGGGCGTGGCGGGGGAGGACGGCGGCGGCGGCGCGTCGGGGGAGGAGGAGGAGGAGGTGGGGTTCCTGCCCGTGCGCGCCATGGCCAAGCCGGCGCTGTCGGCGTCGGGCCCCACGGAGCAGGAGAAGCTGTGGCGGCGCATCCAGGCGACGTACGCCATCCCGCTGGTGGACGGGCGCCCGGTGCAGCCGGCGCGCGCGCTCAAGACGTCCGGGCGCAGCGTGGCGCTGGGCGCGCTGCCGCCGCAGCTGGTGCAGCCCACGCCTGCGCCCGCGCAGCCTCGCGGCGCCATCGCACCACCCGACCAGCGCCAGCCTCCAACTGCGGACGAGACGCCGGCCCCCGACAACAAACTGAAAGCCCACTCCGCCGAGCAGCAAAGGCTGCCGCCGCCGCCGCTGAAGCCCAAAGAAGCGCAACAATGGGGGATCGTGCCTTTCTCGGAGCCTGCCACCACTGCGTCCACGAGGATCGACGACCGAACTGCGGACCCCAGGCAGTCGAAACTTAAAGGGTATTCTCCATTGCAGCAGGAGCTTTCGAGGGTTAATAAAGACAACGTAGATACATACTACAATACGAAAGGGAACGAGGGGTGGAAACCGCTCCCATACTACGATCCGAAATCCGCTTCTGGTGGAAGCAAGGTGGAAGATAAAGCACCAAGTGCCGACAGAACATTGCCATATTCTGCCAGTGGGAAAGAACCGCAGATTCTAAATACCGAGGTTGCGGCGACATCGAATTTTGAAGTCTCCCCAGAGCAATTGAAGGAAAGTAAAGAAAGCGGAATTTTGCCTTACTTCGATTCTAAAGTTACATCTTCCCCTCAAGCAGATGAAACCGTTTCCGAAGTTCAATCCGAAAACAAACCGCAAAATGCAGATGACGAGGAACCATGGCGACCAATTCCTAGCGAAACTCCTACTCGAGATGACTACGTAAACAAGGATCGGGCAAACGAAGAACGACTGGAAGAAGAAGGAAACGAGAACGTGGAAACGGAGGAGAGAGCCCCACGTGAACAAGATAGCGAGGAACATGAAGAGGAGCAGAACGAAAGAAGAGAGAAAGCTGAAGGGAGTGAAGAGGAAAAGGTTCAAAGGGCGGAAGATGAGGAGGAGCGAGATCTCTGGGGATTCGTTCCTTACTTTGAATCTAAAATCACGTTTCCCTCCTTCAGAGAGCAGCTTTTGGGAGATAAAAAGGAAGAAGGCACAAAGTCAAGGATGCAAAAGATCAAATTCAAATCTTGGGGGGTGATTCCGTCTTACTCGGGCCCTGAGATAGAAATTCCTGAAATACCCAAGCCCGTGGAAAGCAGAAAGATATTTCCACCTCCAAAAGAAAACATTAGACAGAGACCTCCCGAAGCACCAACTTCATCATCGGAAATTCAACTACCACAACCAACAGCCTACGAAGCCCCTCCAAACCAACCTCCTGTACATCGTGACATGACAACGTTCGTGCCAATTAAGGTCGTTTCCTCCACTGGTTTTATTGAAACCAAGATGGTACCAAAGGAGGAAGTTCGACAAGAAGACATTATGACAGAAAAACCACAAGTCCCTTATCAAGAGCAATCACGAGAGTTATATAAAGAACAACCACGATTGCCTTATGGCGAACAACCGCGAGTTTCACATGAAGAACAGCCTCGTGTCTCAACTGCAGGGCAATCAAGAGCTTCATATGATGGACAACCTCGAGCCTCGTATGAAGAGCAACCACAAGCCCCATATAAAGAACAACCTCAAATATCGTATGGAGAGAAATCAGGTGCCTCGTATGGAGAGCAACCACAAGCCTCATATAAAGAGCAACCTCAAATATCTTATGGAGATAAATCAGCAGCCTCATATGAAGGACAACCACAAGTCTCATATAAAGAGCAACCACAAGTATCATATGGAGAAAAGTCACCAACATCATATGAAGAGCAACCACGAGTCGCATATGGAGAGCAACCACAAGCCTCATATAAAGAGCAACCACAAGTATCTTATGGGGATAAATCACCAACTTCATATGAAGAGCAACCGCAAGCCTCATATAAAGAGCAACCCCAAGTTTCTTATGGAGATAAATCTCCAACCTCATATGGAGAGCAACCACAAGCTTCCTATAAAGAGCAACCACAAGCATCTTATGGAGATAAATCACCAACTTCATATGAAGAGCAACCACAAACCTTATATAAAGAACAACCAAAAGACTCGTATGAAGAGCAACCAGTAGATGTAGTTCCATATTTCGAATCCAATTTTACGTCTGCTGCTGATAAAGAGAGATCCGCAGAGGAAGACAAAGAAACGTTACGTCGGCTTCTGATACTCCCCCCACCGCTACCAGAAGTGCAAACCAAGTTCCAGACTCCCACTCCTTTGGTCTTCGGAATCCTTCCCAAAACCAACAATCTGCCCCAAATTGGGACGATTGCCCCGCTGCATTTCGGCATCTTCCCCAAATCCACACCTGCTCCCGCCGCCTACGAGTCGACGAAGATATCGCCAAACCGCATCCTGCCCATGTCGTCCCGGACAGTGAACCAAACTGTGAATGCCACAGACGAGCAACCAGCTGCTTCCGATATCAAACCTGCGGTGACACCGCTGCCACTGAGTCTGTACCCGGGAGAAATATTCCGATCGTCACCTCGCGTGCAGGCGGCAGGTCAGGCCAAAGCGGAGGCGTCCGAAACCGTTAGCGCGACCGTCACCATTCCACCCATCACCAACTCCACGGAGATCATCGTGGAGACGATCGAGGATATGGATATCCCGCAACCGCCCCCTCCCAGGAAAGACGGGTGGGCACCGACGTATCCGGTTTTGGCGCACATCCCAACGGAGTACATGTCCCAGTACCTCCCTCTGGTGGCCACCGGGGCGTCATCGATGGCTTCGTTGCTTAGCGTTCTTCAAGCGCAATCTTCTCTTGCGTCGGCCGAAAACAGACGGTCCGACGCGGATGACGAAGATTTCACCTCCTCCGGGTCCATTTTATCCAATGACACCATTCCAATGGTGATTTGGGTTCCGCTCAACACAACACTTGGAACGTCTCTGCTGAAGCTTCAAGGACTACCACCCACGCCCACCCTCGCGTCCCAAAAGCCGGCCAGTGCCCCGCCTGAACCCTACTACATCCCGTCCTCGTCGCCGTCTAGCGCCGTCCTCACCGCCCCGTCCACGTCCTCGCCTTCCACGCCGCCTACGGAAGCCCTGCACAGCGCGGCCTCTGGGGATTCCGTGAGGTCGCTGTGGGGAGGACCGACCTTCTGGGAGGACGCTCCGCAACTCACTCCGGAAGCCACCGACACCTTGGAGAAGCTGAACACCGAATACAAAGCAATCCTCAACGACAAGACTGGAACGAATGCCAGTTCTCCATCCACAGACGGCGGGTCTGATTCTCCAGCTGAGTCCAACACAACCTCGGCTGTGAACCTCACTACGACGTCGTCGACGGAATCGTCCACCTCTTCTACGACGTCGGCGACCACCACTCCGTCCGCAGTCGTCCAGCTGGCGTCGGTGGCGACGACGACGCTCGCGCTGACCTCCGGCGGACAGACAACCGACAACTCGACCGCCGAGGAGGAGGCCACGACAACCGCGTCTCCCGAGGCGACGACCAGCGGCAAACGCTACCACGTGGAGCTGTCGAGGGATAACCGCCCACAGCAGGAGCAACAGGCGGCAGAGGCGGAGACCACAGAGGTATGAGAGGGTCTCGCTGACGCATTTGCATTCGACATACTTGTGCGCCTGATTTCAGCCTAGTTATCATGCGTTGTTTAAACATTCTTGGATGCTTTCCGAAAAGTTGTGCAAAACCTGTCTGACAGATGTTTACATACCACAATAAAATATAAGGTTTCGTATATCTGCTCTCTTTCGAGTATATGTCTGAGTGTCTATGTTGGGATATGTCAATGTTCGAGTATATTCTTTCCACAATTCAGTTCGTCTCGTTTTCTTAGTTTAAAGTGCGTGTGTAGGCCTGTTCTGTAGAGTTACTGACGAAAATTCAGTGGAAATATTTGGATCATACAGGTAGGTATGGATTCGGGTTTGTTAATTCATTTCGCAAATAAACACTTGCGTATGCCTTTGTTTATTTGGAGTGATTAGTTGGGATTGGGAGAGGAATTCCAAATCATAGTTTGCTAAGAAAATTGTGATTTTTTTCTTTAGCTTAAGACAGATAAGAAATGAATAAACATATAAAATGACGAATGAATAAAATGACAGTGTTCGCGTTTCTTACAAATTCGGTGTAGATATAAAGATGGAAATTTCAATAATGTGATAATGTGATACCTTTTTTCTTCATAATTCTAGTCAAAACTTATAAACTTGCAAATTAAAAGAATTTTACTTGTAATTCAACTACTTTTCCTATTATAAAATTTCTTTTATATCATTTTGTAACACTATTGTAATGTTGTTGCTTTTCTGTCAGGGCCTCCCGTTCAACCAATGGTTTGCTAAGCTTCGGCTACTTTTCCTCTAATCCGTTGCTCGAGAGTTGGGAAGCTAAGTTATTCGCACAAAGAAGAGACACAGTAGTACTGTAGTAATATTGTTATTTAGAATTTAATGTATTTTATATAATTAGTTGTTAAATAAAGCCAACTCAAAAAGAAGTTTGATCTTTTTATTATACACCCCCTATTCATTCTTCAGAAATGGAACAAGATTATTCTTTGTTTTAGTTGTGAAAATCTTGATTATTGAATGGCTTATATAACAAAATGTAGCTTTCAGACTTCAGCAAGACTTATTTAAAATTCCTAAAGTAGTAAGGGATATTCATAATACGTGCCGGGTTAAAGAGTTTTTTTATCTCCTACATTATGTTTTGACTAATAAAAATATACATTTTATCACATAAATGAAACAAAAGTAATGGAATGCCGGAAAAAAATATCTATTTCAAAATTTGGATTTTGCAGAATGAAATTTCCATCAAATTATTTTAGAAGGATTTTAATCAACAGTAACATTAACCTTACTATATGAAAGTTATATTAATATTTCAAACTAATAAAGAAGGTTTTATATTGTTGAAATTTGTAATCATAAATATCTTATGAAACGCCTAGTATAATTTTTTGGCGATTTTCATTGAATCATTACATTCGCTTTGGGATTTGAATCAGAAAAATTACTAGAAACAGAAATGTTAAGAGATATTGGAATGAAAAAAGGAATTATTTAACGATACGTATTTTATTCTTTAAATCATAACAAAATGGAATTCCACTCCCAAAAAGACTCTTTAAATTCTTTATCACATATCTTTTGACATATGCAATCTTAGCAGAGTTCATAAATATTTTGAGTTTTCCAAGGACGTGTCAACAAGAGATTTGGTAATATATACTTCGAACATGATCGAGGCTTTAGAAGGCTTACGTAATTACGATACTACCTGTGTGTGCACCATTTGATCCAAAGTTTAGTAAAGAACGATCTGTCGTTTGGAAAAATGAAATATATTCGTAACGTTCATTTCAAGCCCTCTATTTATAACAAGTGCAAATAAATTATATAACAGTAAACAATTTCTATTGATTTATTTGTGTTATTTAATTTAAAACTACATTCAGTGTAGAAATAGGTAGGTTGCTTTAAAAGGTACACATAAAACTATTTCTATGAATACTTTTTCGTCCGCCGACAACTTCACTTTCCCTGACTGAATTTACTTTTGTTTAAAACGGGAATAAAGACGAGAGGGATGGAGATAGTTTGTTGTAACGTCGCTCTCAGTTTTTCCACGTGTAGGGTAATACCTTAAACACTGACAATATTTTCCTTTATTCAGCGAAAGCTAAAGCTATTGAAGCTAAAACAGCACATACTATCTCACCCTTAGCAACGGTTGCGTAATTCTATTTTTACCGCAATTGCTCTCTGAATTAACACATCTCGGTCATCGTTTTTTGTAAAACTCACTACAGATCGTAGAACACTAGGTCCGACAACTAAATATTTTCAAGCACATATCGGCCCAAATTTGGCAAATAAAACTACATTTAACTTACCTAAATCATGCCCCAACAATGAATGGAATTCACAGAAGTAAATAAAACCCACTTATCTTGTCGTCGATCAAAAACAAGAAAAAAACGTCTCAAATATCCATCGCTACATTCTTGCCTAAGGCAGTTTAACGCGGTTATAAAAAATTAACGTTAAATAAAGAAAAGTTCGAACAAAGTTATGATAAATTTTCTCAATTTTTCATTCACGTTGCATTGAAACCGTTATTTTAAGAGACAAAACCAATTAGGCCTAAATTCAATTAAAGATTGCGGAAAGCTTGAAAGAAAATACATCAATTAATTGAAAATAAAACTTCATTGCTCGCAACACGCACAAAATATACGGATTTTCAAATTGGTTGTAAATCATTTCCAGAAGGTTAATTTATAAACGCATAACAAAAGCTCGAATGTAAGAAACAAAGAAAGAAATACGAAATAATATACCAATTCTAACTTACGTAGCATTCAACTGCCTCCAACCGCACCTTAAATTGCGTTAATGAAGCGTGGACAATTCGAAGTAGGGCGTCAAATTACACAAAATATTTTCGAAAAATTGAACATGACCATAATTAAAAAAGTTTTAAATGAGAAAAGAGAAGAAAGAAAATTAATTTAGAAATTAAATCTTCACAATTGTAGAAGTATCGTAATAATTGTAGTTGCATAAAGGAGCGAAAAATTTAAATGGTTGCAATTTTCAAAAAATCAGGCATTTTAACGAACATGAGACCTACACCAATCTCTTATGCGTTTTTTACTTTATTCGAGATCAACATGTAATCAAATAATGTATAGCCGTTTTTAAGCTAAAAAAGTTTAAAAAAATAAATTTTGCCCATTTTGGACACAAAATTACGCAAACAATACTTATATTTTCGAAAACTTGAACATGACATTTTTGAAAGTTGTTTTTGAAGATGTTTTTGATGAGTAGACTTCATTATGAAAAAATATTCCGTAATTGTAGTTGCAGTAATACTCTGACAAATTTTTGAATGTTTGCAATTTTTGAAAAATCAGGAATTTCGAGGAACATGATTTCTGCGCGTTTCTTTAACGCGTTTATCCGTCAAGAACGTTTAATCAATAAATTTGGAGCCTTTTTTTTAATTTTGAAAATGTCCAGGGCCCTTGATGTTAAGTACCACTCAAAATTAAAATATCTGTAAAAAATAGTCAAAAGATAGGGGAATATCCATTTTAGAGAAAATCGGCCGCTAGCGTCGAAGACGGACAGACGTTTTGCAGACAATCGATTTTTTAATATAAGAAATTTTCTGCCGAGAATTTGCCGCTTTTTCCTGATAGAATTACAAAACTTTCTCTTTACTGTTTAAGCGGTAGTGAGAAAGTAAAAATTATCAGAAAAGCACACGAAACTTAGTGGTCATTCTCGACGCCGGTAGAACCATTGCTGCTAATCACTATTGATGGCGATCGGCTCTAAAGCTGTGTTTCCGCAGCTGCTCAATATCTATCCTGGTGAGACCATTGTTGTATTTCGACCGCTGTCGACGGCTCTACAGGCCACCCGCTGTCGGTGTGTTTTCACAGGTGCCCGCAGGCGGGGGCGGCGGCGGCGCGCCGGCGCGCAGCCTAATGCGCGACGGCCCTTGTGGCGCCGGCGCCGGCGCGGTTCGACGCCCCGCCGCGAGGCGCGATACCTGTCGTCGCGGGAGGAGGACGCGTCGGCGGCGGCGGAGGCGGCGCGCGAGGAGGCGGCGCGGGACGCGGAGGTGGCGCGCGACGCGGCCGAGTGGCGAGGCGCGCAACGAGCCGCCGACCTGGGCCTCACCACGCCGCGCCCCACGCACGACCCGAGCAAGTACCCCTTCTACGGTGAGCACCCGCACCGCACGCACCCGCACTCGGCGAATTCCACCTGCCGACGCACGCTGCCGCAGCCAGGCCGCGCCACGCTATCGGACGGCGTGTGGCAGCTGGCCGCTACCCACTGAACGTGGGTTAGGTGTTCGGAGAATTTCGATTTGGCTCACTGAACTACGGTTCAACGTGTTCGCTGACGTTTATCTACACGGGCGGCGCGGGGTAGTGTCATGCTATCAACTAAGCTTAGATTCAGTAGTAGGTAAACTTCGCATCGGTTAGTTGAACGTCGGTGGTATAATGGTTAGCGTTTCGGGCTAATGTCCCCAAGTTTGCGGGTTTAAACTCGATCGATGTCGTGGATTTTAAGGGCAAAAAATCGTTCGTATGCCGTCCTTCGGAGGGGAAGCAAATCTGGCTTTCATCACCGAAGTAAAATCTTCTTTCTCCGCTAGATGGTGAAAGGAGCGTAGTGGAATTTTCGTAGTCGGACGAAAGAATGGCCTGATGGCCAGTCTCACCAAGTAAAATAAGGAATTAAGAACCTAACTTCGCTATTTATACTCTGATTTAAACAGAGTGGCACTTCAAGGTCACAATTCGGGTGGAGGGGGAAACATTGTCATTCATGGGTGCTTCGTTATGAATTACATTCTTGGTATTGCGGTTTCCGATATCTTGACTGCCTTCATCTCCTTACAGCTCAGGTCTTGGAAGTGCCAGTCGGATTGGATATGAATATATCAACAGAAGGTGTGATGTTTATGATAGTTTTATCAGGTACAGAAAAGGAAGACTAGCTCAGTCAAAGCAAATTTATTTCTTCACTATTTTGAGGGT